AGAAAGGACAAACAATGGTGAACGCTCTTCAAGGTGCGGTAGGCGCTAGCACAGTCAAGACTCGCACATCAGGCGCTACTACTACTACTACTTTCTACTGACTACAGTAGAAAGAATGATGGGAATGAGGGAGAACTTGGAACATAAACTGAATTGGCTGATTGCCAACTGTTAATTTTTAAACAGGTTCACACTGATTTGCAAACGTTCCCTCAGGTGTATAGCAAACAGGGTGTTCAAGGGAAAAGGTAAACGTATTTTTGTAGTTGAGCTTGAAAAAACACGGTAGAATTCTATACAGCTTGTCCCTGTTCATTTAACGTTCCTCCACTGTGTCTGTTGTTGATAGGCCACTGTGATCACGGTTCAACCATAATTCCCCCAAGACTGGACAATATAACGCTCGATGAATAAACTCCAGCTAATTATTTCGTCACACCGCTTCGCTCTCTCGGTAAAGTCTCTGCTTTGGGGTAGCCAACGGCCAGTATAAATAAAGCTTGATTTCGCGGTTCGAAATGCCAGAAAATAGCTCATATTTGGTTTGAGACTGGTTGAACCCTGGTTGAACCCGTATTTCAATTAAGGCGACATGGATGCTGTTTGACGTCAGCATGGCGCTTTTTGCAAACGTTTGCTTGTTTCATGATAACAGAACAAGTCTCCTTTCTGAATCGCGTAGGTTCCAGCTTTCTGCTTTTTTCCAGTAACACCACCTGCAGTTAATCAGATGTAGCACACTGCTTGACATTTAAATCTTACCATAAGAGGAGCATCGTATTGCGTAATTTTCATGATCCTTGTTCACGGTTTTGCCAAAAGAAAAAGAGTGATGGACTTCACAGATGATCCTTTTTATTATGCTTAAACTTTCAACATGGATTATTTATACGTTGGCAGCATTTCTACATTTAGACTATCATAAAATGGCATCCTCGAGTTGCCTCAGACTGGTATTATTCTCAGGGAGGAATGCAGGCTCGGGAGTCATGATTATCTCGTGTCGCATCGAGTACAATCATGAAGTGCCAAAAATGTTACTTGATCAAATAAACTACTGATGCTACTAAAGCAATTTTGGTTCTGTGAGAAATCGAGACCTGATCACAACTAAACACATGCAAACTATCAAATGTATACGTTACGTAAATGATGTACTGTCGTCTTTTTTACAAAAATACGTTCAATGTCCAAGTTTTTTTTCAAAACTTAACGTCTCAAACGATAAACATTGCAATGGTAAAATGGAACTAGAGCTTAACCTGCCACAGGAAAAGTTGAAAAAGGAACAACTGACAGGATTTCTGATCCATAGTTTGGTCCAGTATGTGTGTGCATACATATTAAGCGTTAAGCTGACTTGTATCAGAAATTAGCACACTGTGAAACAGCTGTTCGAATCGCTGCATTTTTTCGCAAGTGCTTTATCCTAACTTGGTCTTGCGCCTCTTATTTGAACTATCAAAGATGCACTGGCTCAATGATCAATTCTTCGTATAAACGATTCTCTATATCAAATCAGGACAGTAAGTTCAATTACTTCCTCAGTCCCTTTCGTAAACATGCAAGTTGTCACAAATTGTGAACCCTTGAATCTGTTTACTCTACCAGCGATATAGTCAGAAAGACTTAGAATGTGGCATTAACCATCGCCCACAGGGAGGTGTGGTTTCAATAGGTTACTGGTCTGATATCAGCTGCCCTCCTAGGGCACAACAACAACTGACGAGAGTGGGGTTTAAAGTGAGC